GCTTTAGCTGGAGATCAGGGCTTTAGCTGGAGATCAGGGCTTTAGCTGGAGATCAGGGCTTTAGCTGGTGATCAAGGCTTTAGCTGGAGATCAGGGCTTTAGCTGGAGATCAGGGCTTTAGCTGGAGATCAAGGCTTTAGCTGGAGATCAGGGCTTTAGCTGGAGATCAGGCCTTTAGCTGGAGATCAGGGCTTAAGCTGGAGATCAGGGTTTTAGCTGGAGATCAGGACTTTCTGCAGAGATCAGCTCTCTCCAACTCAAAGCCGATCCATGCCTCACATGTGCATCCAGGCCTAAACTCCCTGGCTCGTACTGTCAGTGCTCTACGTTACGAGTGTACACGTCGTCGCGGCTGTACCCACGCGTTCGCTTGCTCCCGTACAAGCCTGAGGGATCTCATTACCCGTCAGACGATCACCTGAGCCAGCGCGCGGCGTGGCGCGGCGTCCCCCATCGCAGACTCAAGCGCAGCATCGCCGCGATCGCCCCTTCACGAACATCCAGGGTCTAATCCAAGCCATTTTTCATACCGAATACCGGCGGCCAAATTACGACCCCTAGCAAAACGCCAAAATTACAAAACTAATATAACGCACAAATTAGCAGAGCTCTGATGCAGATCTCCATGTATCTATCATAATATAGGCACTGTTTTATAATAAAATGCTCATATAAGATCTATAATCTATTATCTGAATAAAATGTGTCGACCAAACGCCCAATTTAATGTGATAGATAAGTATATTACATATAATTTTTTTACGCTCGCTACGCTCACCATGGGTGCACATATTAAGCAGCTAGATTAGCCCCTGACAACGCTCTCTCACCCGCACCGGGGAAAGGTTGGCGCGCGTGTTGGACGCAGGATCGGATCATCGCGCGAGTGACGGCGGGATGGTAAACACGCGCGGCTGGACGTGCGCGAGTTTACCGAGCGGGAGCGCATTAGCGATTTCTTATTCGACGTGTGATCTTCTCTTCTAGTAATAATTATCGTTTAGTTATCTTCTAGGTGTAAATCATAGTTCGGGCGCTCTTGCGAGACGCGCGTCGCGGCCCATGAGCGCTAACACGACGACAACTTCCCACACAGCAGCACAAGTCCACTGACGACCTAGTACAGTGAACCTCCGAGATACGAATGGCTCGACATACGAATTTTCGAGATACGAACGACCTCCCGTTTAACGTAATGTATTCGACAAAACGAATAAAATTCAACATACGAACGTCTTACGAATCAGCCAATCAGGGCATAGGCGTAGCGCGCGCTCTTTCGGTGAGTAAGTTAAAGTACGTGACTCACTGAATGTGGTTGTGCTCTCATGATTGCACTTGCTGTACGTAAATTGCTGTACGTCCTATAAAGGGGGCGATATACGAATTTTTCGAGATACGAACAAATCTGTGGAACGAATTACATTCGTATCTCGGGGGATCCACTGTACTCAGCAGAGTACTCAGTAACACACACCCTTTTTTCCCGTGTCGATAAGATCGGCCGCCGGTATCGCGGGCCGCCTCGTGAAAATTTGTGCCGGCCTACGTCAGTTGGCTTCGTTCACAGGAAAATTTACTGATTCATTTCTACGCGGAATTTTTTTTTTATATTTCAATTGAAATCGAGCGCCAAGCACTCGCCACGTCATGTTCACATTGTGCCTCCCCTGAATAACACATGCATACAGTCGAGCGAAACGAAAAGCGAATCGCCATACAAACGCCTCGAAGAGACCTATTATAGAGCACTGCTCCGACATCCGGTGAGAATCCGCACGAGATGAACGAAGCCAGATATGAAACACGTGAATAATAGCGTAGTGACCGCACTGCGATTACTGCCGAGTTTTTCGCACTACCGTCAAGTTTTGCGTGTGGACGACAGACGTCTGAAGACTCTTCATTATCCTCTGCGAAACGAGTCTTCATCATATCTATTATACTCAACGTTACGGAGCAATCGCTACACCATACGTGGGTTTTTTCCCTTTTGTTTTCCACACCGATCCCACGTTTAACGAAGGGGTTCCAGTCCGAAAATCTTCTACGTTAGGTTTCCCGTTAACGTCCATTATAATCCTGGAGATTCGCTCTCGTGAAATGATATACCTTACGCGCGTCAGATTTCGATACATTTAATGAGTGCTGAGGACATTTTAATTATTACCAAGATCATGAACATATACCCTTAATAGAGTACATACACGTTCGTTGCAATATGTAAGCATACATGTGACTAACCAGATATAAACAAATTTACTTGTTGACACTAATTCGAGGTTAAACAATGTTTTAAAATTCTAGAAAAATGTCACCGAAATCAAAAGTATGATCATCATGTAATAGAAATTTCTTTACATTAAGACATTCCTACCTTACATCACTCTATTTGCTTCTCGAAACATCTCGTATATTTTCCTGCCCTAACATAAGTTAACCCAAGTTTCTCTGCGTACTATTGATATGCATCAAGTGAAAAGGACCGACTTTTGCATACACGCAGGCACGCACACAAAAAATTAGCAGCACACCTCGCTTTCCCAAGGGGGAGAAACAGTGATATATATATATATTAGGCAGCCCATTAGGAGTACATTAACACGTCGTGGTAATGTAGGTAATGTACGGTAATGTAGTGCCGATGTAATGCGCGTGTTTACAGCAGTAAATAATGCACACGCCGCACGCGATGAGAAAGCATCGGCGTAATAAACGAGCACACTGGTTTTTATTCCCCTCTTTTCCATGCTATAGAATTAAACATTAATTGACGCCATATTCACGCCGTCGTCGACTAAAATGAGAGAGTCTGTGGAGCGGCGCGGGATCCCACTGTGCGTTGCAAGGCTCGAGCACGCCACCATGACAGTGCAGATTACATAACTAGCAGTGCCCCCCCCCACCTCCAGGCTTCCTAGCTACTGGTACATGGTACATGGTAGGGGCGTAGCTAAGCTAACCCATCCTGCCTGGAGGGAGGGCAGCAAAGCTGCGCACGGTTGGTGGTCTGGGCAGACTTCGGACGCATTCAAAATTCATTAAAAAAAAAATCCTGGATATTTTTTTCCCTCAATTTCTGAAAATTTCATCCAACTCTATATTGGGTGTACCAGCAAGATGGGGGGGGGGGACGGTTACGCTGTAGCGGAGGTTTGCTATCTCCGATTGCTCTTGTTTGTTATTGGATGTTTTGTGTTTACCTCCATGACGGCTTCCCGGGCGAACCCCAGCGACTGCATGTGAGCCAGCACAGCGTCGTTCCACTGCGTCACCGTGTCCACGTTCAGACTGGAGATGTCGGCTGCAAGAGACACAGAGAAAGAAAGAGACGATGGAGAATGAGTGTATTGTAGGCGGTGGGAATTTGACTATAGGGAGCGAGAGGCAAGCGAGAAGAAAATTTTTCTGCCCGAGAGAGAGCGGACGAGAGAGAGAGAGAGAGAAAAAGAGAGATAGAGAGGACAGGAGAGAGAGAGAGAAAGAGAGAGAGAGAGAGAGAGAGAGAGAGAGAGAGAAAGAGACAGTGGAAAATAAGCCATGTTTGCATTTTAAAAAGTGTAGTGGATTGTGGGAAATTTTGACTACAGAACAGGCTGATTAAGTGTAGTAATCATTACGATGTCTACCAGGAATAGCTGACAGCCAACTCTAGCCAATCACTGTTGCGATCGGTCATTTTAAAAGATAATGCTTAGCAGCAAAGTGCCAACGCATTCAACAATGTGGCTTGCATGCATGACAAACACGTAAAAACTGGTCCAGCTCGACTGAACTGGCAACAATATTGTTGCAAGGAATGGTTTTATTGCTGAGACTAAAGTCAAATTAATGTAATGCAAAATTAGCTCATTGGTGAGATCGTGGGTTCTGGAAGTTGGATGATGCATCGCCATCACAACGTGGAAACACTAACCATGGAACGCAATAATGTTCAAATAGCACCAGTGAAAAAAATACATGGGGGCTCGGTGCGATTTAGCCCCCGAAATGCCAAAAAGAGCCCCGGAAATGCCCAAAAGAGCCCCCGGAAATTTGCATAGAGTTCAATGCAAACCAAATTTTAGAGTGCTATCTATTTTCATGCACGCGAGCTTGAAAAGTAGACCCCAAAAAATAAATTTAAATTTTTTCCCTGAATAGCACTACCAGAACCACGAAACACAGAGCTAATGTTCTAGAAGCACTGCTGAAACCACAGAATGTGCAAACGTGTCTGTCTCCTATCTATCACCGTCACTGCATCTGCCGGCGTCTGCCTGCGCGCTACATTACCTAGCAACTTCTCGTAGTCACGGCGTCTGATGCGCGCTACGTTACCTAGCAACTTCTCGTAGTCGCGGCGTCTGCCTGCGCGCTACGTTACCTAGCAACTTCTCGTAGTCGCGGCGTCTGCCTGCGCGCTACGTTACCTAGCAACTTCTCATAGTCCGGGTCCTCGTGGTCGGCCCGCATCCAGCTGTGGCTGGCAATCTGCTCCACTGTCGCTCGCTTCTCCGCATCGACTAGTAGCATCTGCCTGACTAAGTTTTCACACTCTGCGGAGGAAGAGATGAGACGTTAGTTCGTTGGCGGTGGTACAGCGTAATTGGCACCTGTTGTTATTGTTGCTGTTGCTGTTGTTGTTGTTGTTGTTTCTGTTGTTGCTGTTGCTGTTGCTGTTGTTGTTTCAGTTATAAGAAATAAAAGTAATTATTGCGAGAGTTTTCCAGTGTTTTCCCCACTTTCATGATACCTACCGTTATTGCTTGAGTAACAGCAGTTATCTAGAGTAATGATAAAATGCCTTAGAACCTTCGTAAACACCAAATCCAATGAAATCATGCACGATTACAATTTTGTGTTCTGTTTCTGTTTACCGTTGCCATCTCTCAGACTTTCTCGCGGTAGCACGAGACATCTATCACGGTGCAGTAATGCATACCGTCGCACCAGGGGTAATCCCCTGAAACTATTCAAAAATAGATCCAGGCTGCAATTGCGACAGCACTTCTTCAGCCAAAGAGTGGTGAATGCATGGAACGCACTGCCAACATTTGTTGTCGAGGCCAAGACGGTCAACTGCTTTAAAAACAAACTAGACTTACATTGGACAGATATGGGTATTATAATAGGCCAGGCCTAAACTCAACCCATCTAACCTTAACCTTACCCTAACCTTAATCGTAGAAATCAGGTCAGAGTGTAAACACAGAGGTTCATACTAGCGTAACAGCAGTGTAGTACTAATACCGCGTAAAGTCTGTTATCAGGGTTCGACACTAACGCTAGTCCGTTAGTCCGAGACTAGTAAAAAATAAGAAGGATTAGTGAATGACCCATAACCGTTAGTCCTGCAGACTAGTTATTTTCCCCGTCCCCCACAGTCCCAATTTCCCATCCTTCCATCGATTTTACTATAGTCCCCGGCGGCAGCTTCTCTCAACCAAGATCCAAAGAGCTATATATATATATATAACTCATTGCCATCAACAAGTTTTCCCTGTTTAATAGACGTGCTAGTAAAAGTAGACGCTCTGCACGCTCTAAGCACGCTAGACCCTATGACATTTAGTGTGTTCGATTTGCTTCCCCAAGTTAACCTGGGTCTACTCGGGCCAGCCTCAAATACGTTCGATTTGGCAGTCACGTGGTATTTTTGCGTTACCCGGGTGAGGCCGAAGTAATCCGTTAGCCGAGCCGCTCACTTGGGGAAGTATCCCACAATTCATTGCAACGAAATCTTCAAAAATCAAAAATCTTCAAGCAGTAATGAAGCATGACTGTCGATGACTGCGTGTGTTTGCTCATTCTTAGATTTCATTTTAATAATAAGATTGCAATTGCTATTCTTTTTTTCTTGTTACTGGCATCCATGATGATAATTAACCCGGGTTAACCCAAAAACCGTTCGTTTATCTTCCGTAAAGGGCCGGACACACTAGGCGATTAAATCGGGCGACTAAATCGGCCGACTAAATCGGCCGACTAAATCGCCCGATTCTATGGCGCGAGTCGAGTGTACACACTAGGCAATTAAATCGGGCGACTAAATTGCCGGTGAAATCGCCTAGTCGTGCATGCATGTGCACGTAGACGTGCGTGCGTGCGTGCGTGCGTAGCAAGATAGTGCAGCTCTTTAATGTTTAGCGTTAGTGGACTTTTTAATGTTTACGTTTAGTGCACATTCTTTTATGTTTAGTGTTAGTGCAACTTTTTAATGTTTAGTGTTGTGCACTGCTATGTTGTGTGCCTTCTAATGTTTAGTGTTATGCACTTACTGGCAACACGACAGTCATCAAGCTGCCAATGGTTCTTGTTAACTTACCGAATCTTTTAATATAAACGTATACTTCCTTAGTTAGTGTTAAGGTACTCCTTAGTTAGTGTTAGTTGTACTCCCTTAGTTAGTGTTAGGTACTCCCTTGTTTAGTGTTAATGTACCTCCCTTAGTTATGTTAGTGTACTCCTTAGTTAGTGTTAGTGTACTCCCTTAGTTAGTGTTAAGTGTACTCCTTAGTTAGTTGTTAGTGTACTCCTTGTTTAGTGTTAATGTACTTCCCTTAGAGTTTAGTGTTAGTGTACTCCCTTAGTTTGTGTTAGTGTACTTCCCTTATTTAGTGGTTAGCGTACTCCCTTAGTTGTTATGTACTCGCTTAGTTAGTGTTATGTATCCCTTAGTTTATGTGTTAGCGTACTCCTTAAGTTAGTGTTTAGTGTACTCCCTAGTTGGTGGTAGCGTACTCTCTTAGTTAGTGTTAGTGTAAGTCCCTTGTTTAGTGTTAATGTACTGCCTTAGTTAGTGTTAGTGTACTCCCTAGTTTAGTGTTAGTGACTTAGTGTACTCCATTAGTGTGTTAGGTGTTACTCCGCTTAGTTAGTGTTAGTGTACTCCTAGTTAGGTGGTTAGTGTACTCCCTGTTTAGTGTTACATTATGCTGCCTTAGTTAGTGTTAGCGTACTCCCTTAGTTAGTGTTAGTGTACTCCCTTGTTTAGTGTTAATGTACTCCCTTAGTTAGTGTTAGCGTACTCCCTTAAGTAGTTAGTGTTAGCGAACTCCCTTCTTTAGTGTTAATGTACTTCCTTGTTTAGTGTTAATGTACTTCCTTGTTTAGTGTTAATGTACTCCCTTCTTTAGTATTAATGTACTTCCTTGTTTAGTGTTAATGTACTTCCTTGATAAGTGTTATTTACTTCCCTTCTTTAGTTTTAATGTACTTCTCTTGTTTAGTGTTGATGTACTCCCTTTTTTAGTGTTAATGTACTTCCTTGTTTAATGTTAATGTACTCCCTTCTTTAGTTTTAATGTACTTCCTTGTTTAATGTTAATGTACGCCCTTCTTTAGTTTTAATGTACTTCCTTGTTTAGTGTTGATGTACTCCCTTTTTTAGTGTTAATGTACTTCCTTGTTTAATGTTAATGTACTCCCTTCTTTAGTGTTAATGTACTTCCTTGTTTAATGTTAGTGTATTTCTGGCAACACGACAGTCATCAACAGCGATGGTGGTGGCGGCGATAACGGTGGGGCATGGTTGCATGCGCGGGCAGGCCAATAGGTAAAGGTAATAGCGTCCGGTCTTCCTCATTTTTACAATGACACGGACCAACTGCCACGGCGCGAGTTCACTGAGCGGGTGATTGAATCACTAACGCCACTGCAGCCGCAGGTAAACAGTTCATAACGCCGCTGCCGCTGCAGACACAAGTGCACAACGGCTTCCGCTGATGCTGCTGTTGCCGCCGCCGCCGCCGGCGCCACGGTTGCGTGGATAACTGCATCCGTAATTGTCGCCATGACGACAGCGATTCAGCTTCGCAACATGAGACGATGAGTGAATTGCAGTTCATGCAAATTCTCTTCCGAGATATGAATCTCCAGGGAAGGCGTTAGCTGACGTATCTAGGAGGTTGCCCTCGCAGCATCCGGTCGACTGTGGTAGTCAGATCACTGTTATTAGCCAAAACAAATCTCCAGGGAAGGCATCACCCTACATGTGGCATAGCTAGGTGTTTGCCTTTTTATGTATCATTCCTAATGCGAGTGTTTGTAAACAAAGTACTTCGGAGAAATAAATCTCTAGGGAAGGCATCTCATATGATACCTTTGATGTATTCAAAGTGTTCGTGTCGTTGCACAAACACAGCCTGAGACGCTAGTCTCTACTCGCCTCTCACATAATCGTGCGTACTGATACCTGTACTCGAGACACGTAGTCTCTACTCGGCCTCACAATCGCTGATGATACATGTACTCCGAGACGCTAGTCTCTACTTCGCCTCACAATGCGCTGTACTGATACATGTACTCCGGACGCTAGTCTCTACTCGCCTCACAATCGCGTGTACTGGATACATGTACTCGCGAGACGCTAGTCTCTACTCGCCTCACAATTGCTGTACAGATACATGTACTTCCGAACGCTAGTCTCTACTCGCCCACAATCGCTGTTACTGATACATGTACTCCGGGACGCTAGTCTCTACTCGCCTCAAACATCGCTGTATCATACATGTATCCGAGACGCTATCTCTACCGCCTCACAATCGCTTGTATCTGATACATGTACTCCGAGACGCTAGTCTCTACTCGCCTCAACATCGCTATACTGATACATGTACTCCAGACGCTAGTCTCTACTCGCCTCACAATCGCTGTACTCAATACGTCTCCGAGACGCTAGTTCTCTACTCGCCTCACAATGCGCTGTACTGATACATGTACTCCGAGACGCTAGTCTCTTACTCGCCTCACAATCGCTGTATGATACATGTACTCCGAGACGCTAGTCCTCACTCGCCCACAATTGCTGTACTGATACATGTACTCTGAGACGTAGTCTCTAACTCGCCTCACAATCGCTGTAACTGATAGCTGTACTCCGAGTACGCTAGTCTCTACTCCGCGCTCACCAATCGCGTAGCTGATACAATGTACTCC